CTGTGGCAGTGCTCTAGTACCTTTGTTAGTACACTCTAATCTGCTTATGTAACAAGACTTTGGTTAAATATGAGCAACCAAACATCATGCCATGAATCCTTGAAAGTTTCCCTGAAAGTACAGGTTATTGTGTTCACTTCCTTTTGTTCCTGAAGAGGTTTAGGTTAGTCTGCAAGTGAAAAATACAGGTGCACATATATATATTGTACTATATAGAGATAACCTTTATGTAAGTTATTCAGTGAGACTGAATCATGGTACTGTGCTATTCTGCATGGTTTCTTTTGCAGCTTTCATTGCCATGGTACCCAAGTGACTTCTAGTAGTACATTAAGCAATGTGCCTGTCACTCGTCAAGAGAGTTCACTTCATCTCTCCTCCTTTCCCTTGTACAGGGAATAGGAGCTTTCAGCTTTTCTTTTTAATCTTTCTGAGTGAAATATCTCAGTCACTAGACTTGACTGAGTGAATGACGATGGAACAGTTTGTAACTTGCTGTCTGTAATGAAAGCAATTAAACCAACTCTAAACTACACTTCCATTTCACACTAAATGCATCAGTTCTTCTTATCTGAGAAGACAGATGTATTTTCAGATTATGTACTAAAAAAGGTTCACAGAATGGAGATAATAAGCAGGTAAAAGTTGCAATTTTTGTATCATCAGTCAGGGTTATATATTTTTTACTTCAAAAGAATGAAAGGTTAACACATGTACAAGTCAGATAAAACTCAGTGGTGGGTTGACCCTGACTGGATGCCAGATGCCCACCAAAGATATTCTATCACTTCCCTCCTCAGCTGGAGATGGGAGGCAAAATATAAGGAAAGGCTTACATGTCAAGACAAGGACAGGGAGAAATCATTCACCAATTACCATTACAGGCAAAAGAAACTCACCTTGAGGAAAATTAATTTAATTTTTTACCAATCAAGTCAAAGTAGGATAATGAGAAATAAAATTTAAATCTTAAAACACCTTCCCTGCAGTGGCACAGGGGGACAGGTAACGGGAGTAGCGATCAGTTAATCACATGTTGTGCTGCTCCTTCCTCCTCAGGGAGAGGACTCATCACAGTCTTCCCTTACTCCAGTGTAGGTACCTTCCATGAGGTGCAGTGCGTCAGGAACAGGTTGATTAAGCATGAGTCCCCTTCATGGTCTCAAGTCCTGCCACCAAAGATGCTTCAGCGTGAGCTCCTTTTTCCCCAGGGCCACAGGTCCTGCCAGGACCCTGCTCCAGTGTGGGCTTCCCATGGGGTCACAGCTCCCTTTGGGCACCCACCTGCTCTGGCACATGGTCCTCCAGGGGCTGTAGGTGGATCTCTGCTCCACTGTGTGCCTCCATGGCCTTCAGGGGCACAGCTGCCTCACCATGAGCTGCACCATGGGCTGCAGGGCAATCTCTGCTCCAGAGCCTGGAGTACATCTTCCCCCTCCTTCTACACTGACCTTGGTGTCTGCAGGGCTGTTCCTCTCACATATTCTCACTCCTCTCTCTGCCTGCAGTTGCTCTTGTGCAGTAATCTTCCCCTCTTCTTAAATCTGTTATCCCAGAGGAGCTACCACCATTGCTGAAGGGCTCAGCATTGACCAGTGGTGGTTCTGTCTCGGAGCTGGCCGGCATTGGCTCTATCATACATGGGGGAGGCTTCTGGAAGCTTCTCACAGAATCCATCCCCGCAGCCTCCCTCCTCCCACTACCAAATAACACACAAACTATGGGAAATACTGCCATGAAGATCTGATAACTTTTTCCAGAACAGCAACTTTATTGTAATTCAATTTGCAGTTTAAATGTCTAATAAAACACTGCATAAATATCAATAATGGCTAAGTCATTAAAAATAGCATATGTTCCTCTTTGCAACAGAAATACTAATGCATTAGCAAAGCTAGAGTAATATATAAATTTCATTTTGGTGTTGGAAAGGCCTACAAGAAAGGTAATGAATAGTTATACTCTAATAAGAGTCTCCTTTCTCGTCTCTCACAGAAGGAAAGGACCACTCCTTGCTTCTTCATTTAAGCATCTTGGCATCACAAGTAATTCTCTTTAACCTCACTAGCTTTCAGATAGTTACAGAATGGAATCATCATCCCTAGACTATTACTCAAAAAAGGAAATAGATGCAAGTTCACTCCTCTGCCCTGGAACCATTCCAAAACAAATGTATCAAAAGGACTGTAAGTACAACAGGACACACCACCTTTAGCCAGGGTTCCCATCATCTTGTGACTCAGACATCAGAAGACCTGTGCTTATCTGACCTCTAGTAGAAGTATATCCCACTCCTACAGTGCTGCATGTTTTTACCCTGTAAACAGACAATGGAGACTAGAGAATTGCTACAGTATGTTGAAAGAGAACTTTTAAAAATATAAATCAGGTTGAAAAGATTCAGAATTTCAGCTTAGCATCCTTTTCTCTTTCAAAGGTGCTGAACATTTTATGTTCCTATGACTTGGTCTGCCCAATGTTTCTGAAAAATCACACAGCTGTGTCATCATTGCAAGTTATGAGTGTGGCTTCAGAATTTGTGAAAAGTTTGGGACCTACGAGAAAGTAAGAGTACCTCTTGGAGTGCCAGAACTTATAAAATAAGAATGAAGACTGAGGAAGGTTTGGGATGTAGGAAAGGCTGCAACTGAGAAAATGAGAAATGTCACCTGGAAGCTGAGAGAGATGCACAACTATCGTGGGGAAGATGGGAAATAATACTAGGAGCACTCAAACAGTAAGCACAAGATTGAAGGAAGCAGCAAAATAAAATAGAGAAAGTGTCTATGAAGGCTCTGAAATTAAAGGTAGGATGATATTAGCTTTAAGAATGAAGAAAATATTCCAGAGGGGAGCAAAAGAAGAACAGAGGGAGGGGGGTAAAAAGGTGGCTGGAAGAAAAGATTTGAAACATCAGTCTAATATCAAATAGACTAGTTGACATGAAAGGGAGAAATAAAAAAACCTTCAAATATTTTGGGAATATAGAAAAAAACATTAAGTGGAGAAGCACTGTATCTTCATAACAGAGTAGAACAAGTGAAATTAAATGATTATGCACAAGAGCAGTGGAATACATTAAAATTCCTCCCATCACAAAATATTCTGTTACTGGCAAACAATTTTCTTACAATAAAAATGTGAGATATTATCAACAACATATTTCTCAAATGCAAAGACTGCACATAACTTTGTAATATCTGTTTTTATACTAATATGAAATAAGAATCAGCATGAGAACTGTAAAATACACGTGGTATCATTGGTACTAAACCTCCTATTTAAAACAAAATATTCTTTAACAGAAAAAAATTATTTGCAAAGAAAGGAAGATTTCTAAAACCCATTAGAGAGTGATTTTAAGAGCCATAACTAGGAGGACACAAGAAATTTCAGAAATTTGACTGCAGGTATTTCTGAACCTCCTCTAAAGACCACATAAATGAGCTGTGGATCTCTTTATACACCTTCTCCTCTTGCAGTTCAGTAGGTGAAACGAGTCTCAGAGGCTCAGGCACTTGTTAAAACCATGGTCTGGCAAGGGCTGGTGGAGAGTACAGGCAATGTACGCCTGCTTTGCAAATGACTGTACTGGGGTTAGCCCAGTTATTTTCTCAACACATCACCAAATCAGGGGAAGGTGTGCATGCCTAAAGAGTATAGGGCTGTGTGCTGTTCCAACACAAACACTGGCAAGAATTTCAATATGCGAACATAGCCAGGAATGAGGGAGCAATTTTATTTAGATGCACTAATTCTTTAACTGTACATTTACATCATTTAACTCTAAATATTCCCTTATGAAATAGCAAGTATTATGTTTAATGTGAAAGATGCCTATAGGTCATATGTTATCTCTTCAGTGCCTTACATTGTTTCCTAGTAAAGTTGTAATTATGTTATATTTGAAGTATTACAATGTATCTAAGTAAAATATCATCGAACAAAGTGCTACCAGTGAAACAGAATTGAGAAATACAAGTGGACTGAGTTTTGCTAAAGGTTATTACTGCAAAACTATTGGGTTTGGATTGGTTTTTTTTACTATGATATGTGATATTTTGCCCCTGCACTCAACTGAAATTATTAGAGGTGATTCAAAATTGGTTCTTCACTGAAACAAGTGAACAGCACTTGTAAGAGGATGTTTCAGAGATGAAAGAAAGAGGCAAAGAGCTTGAAAAGGAAATGGAATTTGCAGGGAAATATTTCAATTTCTAGGGAAGACTTAAAGTTGCAGATTTTCTGCGTTTGCTGGATTAGCATTAATTTTCACTTACGCTCTTCCTAGACCACTTACACCAGGGCAACAGCACAGAGCAGGCTGAATTGCCAAGCCACAGTTAAGTCGAGAGTTCTGCTCCCCAGCCGCGGGAGCCACTGTCGGCCGCTCTGCCGGTCCTGCCGAATTCCCAAGGGAGGTTTCGGTGGGATTCATTGTAGACCACCGCGGGCCGTGCTGTAGGAGAGCGGCGGGAGGTTGGCATTGTCCCCGCCGACACGTTCAGTGGGACATGGCCCCTCTCTGGGGCAGCACTCCCGTCCTGGGCTGCCCAGGGGGCTGCACCGTGCGGTCGCAGGTGAGGCGGTGTCACGGCCAGCTCCGCTGTGTTGAGGCGCTGCGGGCCCGGCGGCCACCGCCGTGCGGGGCAGGGGCGGCGGGGAGCCGGCGGGGGCGGCGCGGAGGGGGCACCGAGCGCCCCAGGGGAGGCGAGCAGAGCCCGCCGCCCTCCCACCTCCCGCCCCTTCCCGCCGGCCGGGGACAGCCGCGCCAGCTGACGCGCCGCAAACTTTCCTGCTCCCGCTCCGAGCTGCGCCTCGCCTCCGGCGCGGCGGGCGGCACCGGCTGCCCGTGACCCCTCGGCGCCGGGGCACGCAGGGAGCGGCCCCGCCGCGCTGCCCGCCCGCCTGGGGGACGCGGAGCTCCGAGGGGACACCCGAGTCGCGGTCCCGTGCGGCGGCGGCTGCCCGGGGGAGCAGCACCTCGGCCGCGGGACAACATGAGCCAGGCGCAGCCCTATGGCCCGCGGAAGAGCAGCTCCCCGGCGCCCGGGACCCGGCGGAACGACAGCCAGGACTACCTGCTGCTGGATGCGGAGCCCTGCGAGGAGAATGCCCTGCCGCCCTACGCCTTCTACCCCGTGTGAGTCCCGCCGGCCGGAGCCGGGGATCCCTCCCTCTCTCCCTGCGCTGGCGCGGAGCTCTGCGCTGCCTCCCGCGGGAAGGGGGGAGGTGGCGGCCGGATAGGTGGTGGTCGGCGGGGGGCCCGGCGTGGGGCTGGGGCTGAGCCCACGGCAGGGACCTATCATCTTCCCTCGCCCTCTCCGGAGGACGAGCGGGGTGTTTGTGTTTGGGAAAGGCGGAGGAGCAGCGTTGGGACCGCCGTGCCCAGCTGGCACCTGTGTCCTCTGCGAAGCCCGTGGTGCCTGCCCCGCTGTAAGGGATGCGAAGGGTGGCTTGGGTTCAGCTGTGGAGAGTGGCGTGAGAGACGTCGGTAGTACATAAACCCAGTAGATACCGTCAGTTTTAATATAATTACAGAAATTTTACCTCCTGCAATCGGTTGCTCCCACTGAGAGAGTGCACATTGCAAGCATATGCATAAACCTGTTCTCCTTTCATTACTGCATTTCATCAGTCATATAGTCTCACATAATTTCATTATGCGAGTTTTGAGGGGTGAGTTTTGCCAAGTAGTTATCATTTAAAGCAAGGTATAACAACATGTGCAATAAAGCTAAATTACATAAGCATAAATGACAAAGGTTCCACGAACTACAATTTTTAACATCCAGGTTGCTTAACGTTCAGTGTTGATAGTGTCCTTCTGGTTATGTGTGGTTAGCATGACTTCTGTAATTACCACTTGTTAATGCCTCTGAGGAGAAGCTATCCCACAGAGGGGGAAAATGGATATTAAGCAGTGTAAGATGAGTCCTAAAATCTCAGATAATTACCAGAAGATGTGTACTTTCCTTTGTACAAATTGTATTTTGTTGCTTAACTGGTAAATTTCTATTATCAGTCTTTCCTAATATTTGCTGCTTTATCTTTGAACAACTTACCAACCACTTGCCAACTGCCTGGGTATAGGCAAGGAATAAAAGCAATGAAACTGGGAACACTCACAGTGTTTGAATATTTATAAACTCAGCTAAGAACAACCAGAGTTTTCAGAATTCGCTGCTGTTATGGCTATTCCTAAGTGTCTTTGTGGATCACTAATTCACTATGCTCATGTAGCTATAACAGTATACATTATGGCACATCGGACTTAAACCTCATCTCAAAATATATGAACACACGTTTAATGAATCCTTTCAGAAGAAAAAACCTTATGATGGTTAGTTCAGAGATTGGTTCTCACCAGTAGACTTCAGCTTTGAACTAATTTGGCAATTCTGAAGTTCCTTTGCCATTTACTCATTCAGAATGGTTGTGCAGCTGTGAAAGGATAGATCTCGCATACACGTTTCAAAGCGTCTCTAAAAAAAAAAATCCACAAGTCTGTGGGGTGCTGCTGTCTTAACTTCAGGGGTATAAGGTCAGCACACTCCCAGCGTGGAGCTTGCCTCTCATCATCTCACAGTGGCCAAAAGGAAAGCCTGCATCCCAATCAAGTTGCTCTATGGAACAAGGGTAGCACTAAACACAGGAATTTATCTCCAATTATGTCATGTCAGGGCCCTAGATGACTGCTTCTGTTGTACAGGTAAGTCCAATACCCTGGAGTCCCTCACTGATAGAAGATGTTTCCGTCAGTCTTTGAGAGAATAGACAGAAGCTACCTGATATGCATAGAGGGTGTAAATTGAGAAATGTGCCCCTTCTCAAATTTATATAATCACTACTTAAAAAGGGTGCTTTAGTAGGCAGTGCTTTTTTTTGCATGCATGTTAGGTGTGGGAAGCTGTCCTTTGGGGTTTCTCTGGATATGGAAAAGAACCACTTCACATACATCCATAGACAATGCCTACATATGGCCACTGCCAGGACTTCCTTGGCTGGCAGGGATGAACGCAGTGAGTAAATAGCCTCCTCCAGGATACAGTGATTACCAAGCAATTTCTGAATTTTCCTGCCTAAATTCCACCTCCATCACATTTGAGGTACATTTTGCAGATCTGTCTTTTCAGCCAGAAGACATTAGTTTTGTTAGTGGCCTTCATAAGGCCAAACATATAATCAGATGGGCAATGTTTAGGATATAATTTTTTTTACTCTTTATCATTTACATTTAGTAATAACACTTTTATCTACTTTTTTAAAAAATCCTCAAATTACCAGTATTTCCTGATACTATTATGGTGATTAATGCAGAGTACAGCCGATGTCCAAAAAAAGCTGAGTTGTACCTCCTTTTAAACATTGCTGAGAGGGTAACATGCTTACTGGTGTAATAGTAATATGGCATGTGACTATTGCTTGAAAAGTAGTTTGATACTAAGGAATAGTTTTTTTCAAGTGGTGATTTAGTGCTAATGCTGACTGGGTGTGTTGTTTGTAGAATATATTTTTCGTATGTTGTTTTGTGACTGCTGTTAAGTGATATAGTGGCTGGATAATAATAAAAATCCAAACCATTTATAACCATTTCTGGTGGTTTTAGCTCTTCTTTCTGGTTCTATTGTGTCCAAGGTAGCTGCTACCTTTGTTGTAAAAAAGAGTTCAAGACTGTACCTTGACCTCATCAGCTGTGCCAAGTAGGGTCACACTGTCTTGTAGCAATGGATAGAAGGTTTTTACCTTTATTTGTGGCATGGTGCAAAACAAAATTCTAATGGGATTTTGTGCTGAAAAATCTTGCTTTTCTTTTGAATTCAGAACCTTTGATAAGAAAACCACAATTTGAGCAATCTGTAGAATTCTTTTTAAGAATTTCATAATTATGTGTTATAAATTATATGCAAGAAATACTTTCTTCCTAATAGTCCTCTTCCATCTTGTCATCAAGTCTTGCCACTTATGTATCAAAAAACATATTGCAACCTATATGTCAGAAGATTGACTCCTGAAATGCAAAAATGTGGATATGTTGGTTTTTTCCCCCTTGTGCAAGTATTTCATTGGCAAAGAGCCCCATTTTAAGTTTTAAAATAGAATGGAAAGTACACTTTAAGGTCTAACTCCAAATCCTAGTGCTGATGTGCAATGGGATTTGAAAGTGATAGCACTTGTATGTAAACTTCCCCACTGAACAAATGTTATTGAAAAACAGATTGTTAGTGTATTAAGCTAGTGAGAAGACACTAATTCAGTCAGACATCTGCTTATATTGCTTATTTATACTTTAAAGTATTTTGTATTGTGAAAAATAAATGTTTTCTTATACATGTGAAGAGGGATAATTGTGTATTAAAATGTCAGTTGTAAAGTAAATGAGGCACACAAATTATCAGATGAAAACAGGGGAAGAAAGGTTCTGTTGTGCATAACTGTCTTGAGGCATAGATTATTCCTCAGCATTTGTGGTTTTCTGATCAAGTGTTTCTTGGCATTATCAAACCTAGTACATTTAAGACCCATTCTTTGTTAAATAATATGTTTTACGATTTCTTTTCTGCCTGCAATATAACAGTGTTTGCTATTGACAGCATATTTTTTATCTCTAGTCTCAACTGTCTTGCTTGAAATGACCTGTAAAATTATCTTCCAGAATCTTCATTAGACATAATCTCTTCAGGGAGTACTGTACAATGTGGCAGCTGTGTTTCAGATTGCCAGTCTCTTTGCTGAGATGTTATGTCTTCTGAAAATATGCTGTACTAGTTTTGTTGAGATCAAAAAGGTAAAAGAATTGATATGGAGGGGGGTCATTTCCTTTTATAGCCTAGTGTATGGAACACTTTCCTATGATTTAGGATGATTTAGGATGGATCTACATAGTAGTGGGCACTGGAAAAAAAAAAATCATGTCTGAATCTCTCATATTCTGAGTGACTGAATGTAGTCCCTGAGGTCTTGAGTAAAAGAACAACACCGTTATTTCCAAGGCCTAGAAAATGCAGCCTTTAGTTTGCTTTGCATATCCTGCCAGTATTAAGAGAATGCTTCACTTTCAACGTTAAGCATATCTTTATTTCAGTTAGGCTTTTTTCCCACATATGTTAATTTCTGGCGAAGGCTTGTGGAATTTATTGGGTTTGGTTGTTAAGCACTTTTGTGTTCACTATGTACACTCACTAATTTAACAGTGAACCTCTTTGGTCAGCTATAATATGTGAACAGTTTCCTATGCTAATACTTTATAATCAATTTTGCTTGAGCCATTGCAATATATCTGTAAGTTTATTTATACCCTAGCTCTTACATAGTTACCAAACAAATGAAAGTCACCTCCCTGTGGGACCTAATTTTATAAAACTGGAAGATTTCCATGAAAATATAATTCATTTTTTAAGTTTACGTGAGGAAGGTGGGGTAGTGATTAAGAAATGTGTGGGATGTATATGGGATACTTTTCACTGTAAATGTTAATAACAAGCATGCTCTTTGTCAAACACTCTCCCAGCAGTATTTGCCACCACAGAAGCTGAAGGTTGTAATAACTGGCTACTTGAAGAATTCCTGCCAACTATTGGTATCCCCAAATAAAGGCAACTTGGCATGGTGGGTCTGTGTCATCAAGCTGTGTTAGGTTTTCCAGCTTTGTAAACATGAACAAAAGAAAATTTTGGCAGTTAAACTGTATTCATGAAATTCTTTATAACTTGGTTTCATATTTCAAGCTGTGATGCAGTCCAGGCAATGACATAGCAAAAAGCTTCAAACTTAAAGTGCACGCAATGAGTCTTACATACATGTTTGTGCACACACTTGTGAGTGTAGCCACTCGCACACAGGGTCTACTCAATGGGAGGCTTAAAGGATTTGCGTTGATAAGCAGTATTTAAATGTAAGTTTTGTTAATTAAATGTTGGCAAAAAGCTTAATGGTAATTAAATGACATGCAGTTTTCTACAGAATGGATTAACATTTCTGTCTTGCAGTAGCATGGTTATTATTTGTTTATCACTGACAAATACGCAAGCAAGTGTACTATTTTTAGTGGAATAAGTTGTGGAGTATAATGTGAAGATGACTGAATGAAATCTGGGTTTATTTTTTATATCCATTTCTATACAACTGCAGTTTTTCATACTA